CCTCAGCTGAGGTAAAAAACAGTTCAGGCAGCTCACCAGCGTCGACGGAGATCTGTATTTGAGCCCTGCCCACACGCACAAAGCATGTTAGGCGCACACAGAACTGGTAGGAAAAAATTTGGAAACCCACCACTGTGGTGGAACGTTGTACCTGTGTGCACGGTTTTGTGACTGGCTAGGTTCCCCTTGTAGCGAAACGAGGCCTGACAACGGTCACACTTGTAGGGTTTGTCACTGTGCGTTTGCAGGGAATGTTTCTTGAACGCGGCCTCTTCCGAAAACGGGCACTGGCACTCTTTGCAGAAAAAGGACCGGGTTTCTGTCGGAGAGGAAGAGGAGGGGGACGCGGGTGAGAATAATGCGGGGAACTGCGCCACACCGGGCCGCCCTCCAACCAGGGCATGGGGTGGCCCCCTCGCCTTGCTGCCAAAGAACAAGCCAGGATTAGCCCGTGTCCGGATTTGCGCCGGAGACCCAAGATCATAGACCCAAGATCGATCTTGGTTAATCCTGGTTTGTTTGGGATTGCCCGAGGGCAAGGTGCACCTCTGACCCGCGGATGGCCCATTCACAAACCCGGTTAAGGCGCCATGATGAGAAGGCAGAACATGTTTGTACAGCACCATGTGATGGAACAGCCCTCAGCCCCAAATAAATGTTGGGATGTAATATTATTCTAATATAAAATGGAATATCATACTACAGGTAGTCCTCGAATTACGACCACAATGTAGCCCGAAAATTCTTTTTGCCAAATGAGACATTTGTGAAGTGGGTTTCGCTCCATTTTACGACCTCCCTTGCCACCGCTGTTAAGTGAATCACAGCAATTGTTAAAGTTAGAAACAGGGTCGTTAAGCAAATCCAGCTTCCCCGTGGATTTTGCTTGTCAGACAGTCTCAAAAGAGGATCACGTGGCCCCCCGCGGGGCACGCTGTGACCCTCATAAATATGAGTCAATTGTGAATTTTGATCACGTGATTCTGGTGATGCTACAAAGGCCACAAGTGTGAAAAACGGTCATAAATCATTACTTTCAGTGCCACTGTATCTTTGAACGGTCACTAAATGAATTGCAGTAAATCAAGGACTACCTTTATAATAATATTTTTCAAGCTACAGCAAAATCATATCGAAAGAAGTAAGATTTTTTTGAATCGAACTTGACAGGTAGTTCTCGACTTACGACCAAAATTGAGCCCAAAATTTCTGTTGCTGAGCAAGACTGTTGTTAAGTGAGTTTACCCCTTCTTATGAACTTTTCTTGCCACTGTTGTTAAATGAATCCCTGCAGGAGTCAGAAGGTTGCCAAAGAGGATCACACGACCCCAGGATCCTGGAACCGTCATAAATATGAGTTGGGGGCCATTTTATGGCCTTTGTTGCCATGGTTGTTAAGTGAATCAAAAAGTCATTAAGTGAACCTGGCAAATGGTGATCACATGACCCACTTGAATTTCGTTCATGTGACCATGGGGATGCTACAATGGCCGTAACTGTGAGGCCCAGTCATATGTGCGAGGCCCTGTCATAAGCACGAGATCCAGTCATAAATCGCTATTTTTCAGTGCCATTGGAACGTCAAACGGTCTTCTAAACAAATGGTTGTGATTCGAGGACTACCTGTATTAAACTGACCCCATCTGCAAAAGACGAGCCTCCCTCCCTCAGCAGAATCTATCTTTAAGCAATAATAAACATCCGCCTGCTCGGTATATCGAGGCAAGGAGTCAAGACATCCTTTGACAAACCCAAAGGCCGCCCCAAAAAGCATCAGGAAACTTTTGTGGACTTACCACAACTGGAATCTGAATATTCAGACTGGGTTTCCCCCATTTCTTCTCCGAAGTTGGATCCAGGGGTATGAAGGCACATTTCCGAATGCTGCGGCGATCGAGAACCGCATGAGCTGCACTTGGACGAATGCAGGTACAACGGGGACTGGTCCTCGCTGCTCCGAGGAGAACCATCAAGTGACCTAAGGAGCAAGAAACTGGTTTAAGACTAACCTCCACTGGTGGGAAACTGCCCTTTGATTCGCCAGGGGTTGAGCTAAACCACAGTTTGTTACTCTGATATTGCTCGGCTCGACTATCGCATTTGGCCGGAGCTTCTTCAAGTGTATTTGGCAACCACAGAGGGTCCTGTCCAGGAAGTTAAATCTCTCTCTATAAAAGCGAAATACCCCTCACGTATTATCACAAAATCTCCAGAACCGTTAAGCCTACAAGCTTGAAATTTGGCATATATGTTCCTCTTGGTTTCTAGGGGCTCAGTAAGAAAGGGTTTTTCTAAATGACCATCAGAGCATTTAGAGTATTTCCTATATTATTATTATTATTAACACGCTCTGATGCTAAGGAGTTCTACTCCCCCTCCCCACCTAAAAAGAAATCTCTTCCAAATGCAAAAAACAAGCAGAGGAAAGGAGTTTCAGTTTCAGAGCACCAAGCAGCTTTAGTACAGAATAGTTGAGCTAAGCCATGCCCAGGCTCCTTGCTGTCTCCTTCTTCTTGCTCACACAGCAAATACTGTTTCAGTTTCCAAACAGCCCTCCACTCTCTCACACACTGACAGGACGCTAGCCAGATGAACACTGATGGATGCTGGTAGGCAGAGGCAGAATTTTTTCCCCCCTTATTTTCCTCTCCCAAAAACTAGGCCGACTACATAGTTTTGTAGCGAAGCTCGTAGATAAATATTTTAAAATGTCTCCGTTTCACAGGCAGTCCTTAATTTACGACCACAATTTCTCCTGCTAAGCGAGAACAGTTGTTAAGTGAATTTTAACCCATTTTATGACCTTTCTTGCCACCGTTGTTAAGCGAATCACTGCAGTTGTTAAGTGAGTAGCACAGTTGTTAAATGAATCTGATTTTCCCAGTGACTTTGCTTGTCAGAAGGTCGCAAAAAGGATCACACAACACTGCAACCGTCGTAAATATAAGCCAGTTACCAAGCGTCTGAATTTTGACCACAGGGTCGTAAGTGTGAAAAAACCCTCATAAGTCACATTTTCAGTGCCGTTGTAACTTTGAATGGTCACTAAATGAATCATTGTAAGTCAAGGACCACCTGTAGCGCAGGGAGTATCGCTAGATGTAACGCACGTTAGCCAAACTCTTTGGGTTCCCCAATCTTTTTTAAGATAAAGGGAACCCCAAGACTGTTTGAGAATTGTTGAGTTGCGCCATAAACCAAGATGCACAAACCAACATTTCTCCTGTTACAACTCACTTAGGTTTGTATCCCTGTTAATCAAACTGCCTGAAGTGTAGATTTAGCAATAGGTTGCCAGTTGCTTATGTGCATCCCATACACCCCAAATTAACCCAGTTACTACAAACAACATTGTATGCCGAACCCTAAACCCAGTAAACACAGCCGAGTTCACACAACTCCTAAACCTAGGTTCCCACAATGCTAAAACTCACTTAGCATCTCACACAAATACAGGGATTTGCTCTCTAGCTGACACGGGGAGACAGGGGTGTTGTGTGAATACGATTATAGCATAATGGAGGGACTTTCTGGCCTGCTTCTCAACAGCCAGAGAAAACAAAATTCATGGAGCTATCAAACTCTGGAAGATTTTTCCCCTCGCGATTTACTCCTAGCTAGAATTTAACCAAATTTATAAGGTTACAAGTACATTGAAAGTTAAGGACAATTTAATAGGTACTAGATAACCTGTGCCCTGTTGGGTAAGTGTTTCAAAGATATTCCTAACCTAAACATAAAAATAAAATAACCAAGGGCAGGCAAAAAAGCAGGAAGAGGAACGGCTTCTGACTTCCCACTGGCTTCTCCATTGAGTTTCCTTGTGAGAATCCGGCACTGCATAGAAAACCAACCAACCAACCAACCTCCCTCCCTTCCTTCCTCCTTCCTTCCTTCCTTCCTTTCCTTCCTTCCTTCCCTCTCTCTTTCCCTCCCTTCCTTTTCTTCCCTTCCTTGCTGGCAGATAAGTGGATTTTGGTGGAAGACTGAGTAAGGGATTACTAGAATGCCTGGGAAACTGTCACGGAACATCAAAGCTGAATATCCTGTGATTGCGGAAACAGCCCAGTTGGGTAGCAACTGCCAGTAGCACCAACGCAACCACAAGTTCTCCAAATGTCATCCCCTCAGAAATTATGGATCCCAGATTTTGAGCGTATTCTGAAAACCAGTGCATTTGAGGTACCTTGGTTCAAAAACTGTTGCTTTACGACCCCACCGTTTCACCCAGTTAAAGGTCACAACAAGAGTTTCGCGGGTGTATAGATTACATTGACACTCAAGTAAAGCACTCCCGGAGGATACGGGGGTTGGGAAGAGATGTTTGGATTAAATAAATTCAGCATTTTCCCAATCTCAGCCACTCAAAAACGTGCGGACTTCTCCTCCTAAAATGGTAGCTGGCTGGGGAATTCTGGGAGTTGAAGTCCACCCATGTTGAAGTTGTTGAAGCTGCCAACTACGGCCCTAACTCCTAATATCTTTTAGCATCCAGTGGTCAGTAAGACCAGACCAGGTGAGAATTTGGAGGAGACACCACTAGTAACATCCACATCTACACATACGTACACACCGACACGCCCACCCACTACTGACACAAGAAGTAAGAGGGCCTCCATACCTGTTAAGAATATTGTTTAGGAGGCTCGCTTGCGGAATAGTTGAGTCTTCCCCATTGATGTTGAGCTTGGTTGGGGACTGCACATCCATGTTCTCAGGCTCCAGGGACTGCTGGCACGTCAACGAGGGGACGTACGGCTGCGGGGAGAGCGTCCCAGCCTCGGTGTGTTCGGGCCCTTCCTCCTTGGCATTCTGGTTGAGCGAATTGAGCACGATAAACTTGTACTTCTTCCAGTTGCACGCCTTGAGATCGGTGGGACTCTTCGCCGACGCGGCACTCGGACTGATACAGGCGGTCTTACTGCTGCTGGACTCGGTGGGCGAGTTGGGTTGGCAGTCCGACTTTTGGGGGCTCTGAGGGCTGGTCACCACCTTCCGGTTCAGGGGTGCGTTGGTGGCCTCGAAGCGTTGGGTCCTCTTGGCTTCGGCAGCTGGCCTCTCTTCTTCCTTGCTTGTTTTGTTGCTTGCAAAATAGGCGTTGCTGTGAGTTAGAGAGGGTGCCGGGTCAGGACCCGTAGCAGCGCTGTAGCGGACATCTGTTTTGTTCTCCTCGGCCGTCTCTTCCTTCGGAGAGTAGACGGCAGGGCGGCACAGGCTGGGCGAGATATTAGCCACCGCCCTGGCAAACTCGGCGGCGCTACCCCGGGACATGCTGCAGGGCGGCGCGCGTTCTCGTGAAAAGGGGTGCCCTCTCGATGCCTCCGAGACGGACATCCTTGCGTCTCGTAGTTCTTCGTCCGAGTAGAGGTACCCGCTGATGGGCACAGTGTTGTAGCTAGTGTAGGACATGGGGGATCCCGACATGCTGCTGTACAAACCGGGCATGAAGGCTCGCCCGTCGCAAACGGGACCATTCCGAAGAGGTAAGTTGCTTTCCGAGATATCTCGGCTCCTGTAAGCCATCATGTTTGGTTGGCTGAGCATCTGGTTGGCTAAAATGTCTTCCCGGGAGGTCTTGGCTGCCGAGACCATTTCCGTTTCGCTGAGGAAAAAGGGAGATTACAATGCAGGTAAGTTCTTCGACGTACGACTGTCACTGAGCCCGACATTTACACCCGTTTTATGATCTTTACTGCCCCAGTTGCACACGGGGCTGCAGGGAGGGCTACTAGGCCCAAAATGAGGCAACTGAATGGAACTAGCAGAGTGTTTACTGGCTGGATGCTCTTCCTGTCACCGGTGTGGAGTTTTGTTCAGCCGATATATTCCCATTGTGCCCACAGAGAGAGAAATATCTGCCTCTACATGGGATCGAACCCACAGCCTCTGGATTGTGAGGCGAGAACGCCACCTCGACTTGTGAAACACCGCCTTAAGTTGCTAGGAATTAATCCTAGAAGCTCTTTCTCTCGGAAATGGATGAAGAAGACAACTGGGTCTTCTCTTGGGCAAGAAATTCCACCCCTCTTCAGAAATATACGGGGTGCCACATTCGAATCCTACCTTGGGTCCGTCCCTGCTACCAGCCCGAGCCTCACCTGGAGTTCAGGAGCCTCCGGCAGGTGTCCACCACGTGTTCCATCTGCAGGTAGAGGGCTGTGGCCATCACTGCCAGGATGTTACTTTCTCGCAGGTTCAGACGAGAGGTGTACATAAAATCCAGGAGGATCCCGAATCCTTCGGGACTGATCTCCGGGTCTAAGTTCAGGACAGACAGATTGCACTTGAGCTGGTCGGTGAAGATGCTGTAGAAAAGGCCACTACGGAGAAGGAAAAGAGACAATTCTGGTCAAGGATGACGAGATTCCCAAGAAAGGGTGCCGAGAAGAGCAACCAGGAGGATGAGGGGACTGGAGGCTCAAACATAC